GATGATTTACATTTAGTTTCAAGTGAGCATGAAATCAAAATAAATACTTTTACTGTCATAATATGCATTACCAGTCTTATTGTAAATGATTTCATGCATTTCCCCCTCAAAATTAGCTATTGTCGCTATAGTCCTGTCACAGCATGAACAGCTTAACATATGACCATGTACATTTACATATTAAGCTCATGATCCATCATGTTGAATGAAGTATGCTGGTTAGCTAATCATAACGGATTAAAGGTACAGTAGCACAAAAATGTGTAACACATGTCTGAATGTGTAATTTAATTCAGGGAGATTGGAAAATAGTCATGTACAACTTTCTGATTTATAACATCTTGACTAACAATGCAGGTAGATTGTTTTGTGAAAAAAAAGAAGTGCTAGAAAAATTGATTGCTTTAATACTATTATTTATATCCCAGCTGTTGTTTTGGCTTTCAATGTAATCATTCGGTTAGAGATGCAGTAACATTTACTGTGGTGGTTGACAGCCAGAGCCAAATATTTCCACATTTGGACTGAGCTGATGGATGTTGTGCAGAAAGATGAAGCATCTGTCATGGGGGTGGATGTGAAGGTGTGTGTGCGCATATGGACTATTGGTGTATGCCAGCTGTTGTATTAGGATCTGTGTTCCTAAAATTTGCTTTGGCTAGCAAGCAAAGATTTGGACATTGAGCTTGATTGTTCACTTCTCGAGACCAAGAACGCATTACAGTTCATAATATGAAGATCAACAAACATTGCGCCACAAACACTAGTGCAATAAAATGATTTGTAAATCATAAAACCATTTGTACATAACGCCTTCTTATGTAAATTGCCAGATTGAGTTCAATACAATGGTTTTGTGGATTACTTAAGACATACATTTGTTCTGCTTGTGTTTTATGAATGAGGCCTGTAGTGTTTGATTCAGAAAAATGTAAAATTAGCTCAGTATAGCTAGCCAGCCTAATCCAATTATTGTTCTTTAGATGCCTATTCATTTGGATGTTATTTCTTCACATTTCTTGTTTACTACTAACTGTAGTACTACAAAATAATACTAAGGTAAAGTGATTCTTTTATATATATTTTTATTATATTTTTATTTACACCACTGTTTAGGGGTCGGTAAGATTTTTTAGGTTTTTGAGTCTTTTATGCTCACCAAGGCTGCATTTATCTGATCAAAAATACAGTAAAAACAGTAATATTGTGAAATACTATTACAAATAAAAAAATAACTTTTTTTTAAATATATATTAAAGTGTAATTTATTTCTGTGATGCAAAGCTGAATTTTCAGCATCATTACTCCAGTCTTTAGTGTCACATGATCTTTCAGAAATCATTCTAATTTTCTGATTTGACAAACATTTCTCATTATTATTAATCTTAAAACTGCTTAATATTTTTGTAGAAATTATGATACAGTTTTTCAGGATCCTTTGATGAATAGAAAAATCAAAAGAACAGCATTTAATGAAAATTGATATCTTTTGTAACATTAGAAATGTCTTTACTTAATGCATAAATAAAAGTAACAATTTTGCATGAATAAAAGCATTCATTTCTTTCAAAAACACTTTTGAATGACAGTGTATGTTACTCCAAGATAGGATACTCCAAGAAAGAATACGGTGGTACTATAATGACACCATGTCCAAAACACATGCAACATTGAAATTTTTTTAATGCGTTTTTTTTTTTCTCTTTTAGATGTTTTAAACACAGCATAAAGATTCAATATGCAGAGATATTAAATTTGTCCACAGAATGACAAATTGACTGAAAAATTGTTTCTCTCTTGGATGCATGAAGCTGAAACATTTGTGATAATAATGGGGGTAATGAGTAATGAGCGGGAGAGGAAGTGATGCGGGCTTCCTCATGGATGCTTTGGATGCTTCCTCACCTGCTGCCAGCTCTCCTCCACG